ACTGACTCTCACTGGCGTACAGTCCCACACACACTGACTCTCACTGGCGTACAGTCCCACAAACACTGACTCTCACTGGGATACAGTTCCTTACACACTGACTACTCACTGGGGTATGGTCCCACACACACTGACTCTCACTGGGGTACCGCTCCCACACACACTGACTCTCACTGGGGTACAGTCTCACACACACTGACTCTCACTGGGGTACAGCTCCCACACACACTGACTCTCACTGGGGTACAGTCCCACACACACTGACTCTCACTGGGGTCCGGTCCCACACATACTGACTCTCACTGGGGTACAGTCCCACACACACTGACCCCCACTGGGGTACAGCTGTCACACACACTGACTCTCATAGGGTACGGTTCCCACACACACTGACTCTCAACGGGGTATGACTCCCACACACACTGACTCTCACTGGGGTACAGCTCCCACACACACTGACTCTCACTGGGGTACGGCTCCCACACACACTGACTCTCATTGGGGTACAGTCCCACACACACTGACTCTCACTGGGGTACAGTCCCACAACACTGACTCTCACTGGGGTACAGTCCCACACACACTGACTCTCACTGGGGTACAGCCTCACACACACTGACTCTCACTGGGGTACACTCCCATACATTAACTCTGACTGGGACTTTACCTATTTATTTAGAATTTACTTGGTGTGGAAGGTCACAGTCTGTTGGTGAATTGGGAACTACTGAACCTTTTGCAATTTATCTGCTGTGTGATCGCTTGATGAATTAAATGAATGTTTTACCCTGGCGGCAGGAAAGCAGTGCCAACAGGCAGACCCCTGTGCATCCAATCCGTGTGCCAATGGAGGTCAGTGTGTGGCGTTTGAAGCTCATTACATCTGCAAATGCATTTCTGGATTCCATGGCCCCACATGCAATCAGGACGTGAACGAATGTGGAGTAAACCCCTCGCCCTGCCGCAACGGCGGGACCTGCTTCAACCACATCGGCTCCTATCAGTGTACCTGCCCACCCGAGTACACCGGCCACAGCTGTGAGAATCTCTATGTGCCATGCTCACCGTCACCCTGCCAGAATGGGGGCACCTGTCGGCAGCTTGGGGACGCTCTGTACGATTGTACCTGCCTCCCAGGTGAGTGTCAATCTCCTGGGATAAAGATGCACCAACCATGGCACAGTTTTGAAGTACATGACATCAAGTCATCATCAAATCATACACTTAATAACAGAGAATAACGGGAGTGAGTTACAGACTAGAATCTATACAGGGGATGGTGTTGGTGTTCAAGGTGGAGTGTTATATGTGTTCAGTATTGGGCTACTTTTGAAGAGTGATCTGTTTATAGTTTGAGAGTCTGTGCTGTATTTCATGAGCGAGGGGAAGCAGGGATAGAGGGAGCCGGGCAGTGCACTCGTGGTTATGGGATTGTGTTGTTTAAGTGAGTTGAGTGAAGCTCCTAATCTTGCAGGAAACATCTGTGCAGCCGGCTCCTGGGCTGTCTCAAGCTGTGGAGCCGGGCACTAGATTGGCAGCAGTGAGAGCTGGTCACTGCACCTGGCCTTCCCCCACCTCATTCACACCCTCATGCCACTGAGCCCCGGTCTAACCCTCCACCCTTTCCAGACACCTTCAAGCCATGGTGTTGGGTTGTGACTGAGAGAAATGTCGATAGCTGGGTGGACAGAACAATGCAGTCGCGAGTGATGTTTGGTTTCAAGTTGAGGCAGCTGTTCAGCAAAGGGACTATGTTTTGTTTATTTTGCAACTTAAAGATTTGGTAAAAGCTGTCATTTATCCATCCAGTCGCCAAGCTTCATTACAAAAGTCTCTTACCTGTAAGATATAACTCTTAGTTCAGCCTATTCCCATTCTGCACAGAAAGAGACTATTCAACTTATTTTTATTGAATCACACTGGCTGGGTCAGGATTTATTGCCTGTCCCTAGCTGCCCTTGAGAAGGTGGTGGTGATCTGCCCTTTTGAACTGCTGCAGTCCATGCGCTGTAGGTAGACCCACAAAGCTGTTCAGGAGAGAGTTACAGTATTTTGAGGAACCTCCTGCAGAGATGTCCTGGAGCTGAGATGACTGACCTCCAACAATCTTCCTACATGTCAGATGACTCCAACCAGCAGAGAGGTGCCCTCCCTAAGCCCCGATGCCCATTGATTCCAGTTTTGCTAGGGCTCCTTGATGCCAAATTTGTTGAATGCAGCCTTGATGTCAAGGGCCGTCACTCTCACCTAACTTCTGGAATTCAGCTCTTTTGTCCATGTTTGAACTAAGGCTATAGTGAGGTTAGGAGCTGAGTGGCCCTGGCAGAACCCAAACTGTATGAAGTCTGTCCCATTTAGCACGGTGACAGTGCCTCACAACACGATGAAGGGTATTCTCAATGTGAAGGCGGGACTTCGTCTCCACAAGGACTGCATGGTGGTGACTCTTACTGAATCTGTCGTGGACAGATGCGTTTGCAGCCAGCAGATTGGTAAGGATGAGATCAAATATGATTTTCCCTCTTTTTGGTTCCCTCACCACCTGCCACAGATCCAGTTAAGCAGCTATGTCCTTTAGGACCTGACCAGCTCGATCAGTAGTGCCTGCCGAGCCACTCTTGGTGGTGGACATTGAAACCCCCCACCCAGAGTACATTTTGTGCCCTTGCCACTCTCGTGCTTCCTTCAAGTATTATTCAACATGGAGGAGTACTGATTCATCAGCTGAGGGAGGACAGTACGTGGTAATTGGCAAGCGGTTTCCTTGTCCATGTTTAAACTGCAACCATCAGACTTCATGGGGTCTGGAGTCAATGTTGAGGATACCCAGGGCAATTCCCTCCCAACTGTGTACTACTGTGCTGCCACCTCTGCTGGGTCTCTGGTGGGTCAGGACATATTCAGGGATGGTGATGGTAGTGTCTGGGATATTGTCTGTAAGGTGATTCTGTGAGTATGATTATGTCAGGCTATTGCTTGACTAGTTTGTGAGACAGCTCTCCCAACTTTGGGACTAACCCTCAGATATTAATAAGGAGGACTTTGCAGGGTTGACAGGGCTGTTTCTGCTGTTGTTGTTTCTGGTGCCTAGGTCGATGTCAGGTGGTGCATCCGGCTTCATTCCTTTGCTGGGACTTTTTCAAGTGGTGAGGTATAATTAAATGGCTTGCTCCACCATTTCAGAGGGTAGTTAAGAGTTAACCAGATTTCTGTGGGTCTGGAGTCACATGTAGGCCACAACGAGTAATCACAAGAGTTTTCCTTCCCTAAAGGACATGAGCAAACTAGATGGGTTTTTACAACTATTAAGCATAGTTGAAGGGCCCTAACAATATTATGGGAATAGCACTAAACTAAATTAGTGAAACATGATTTTCCTTTCACAAAACCATGTTCATTTTACCTGATAGCACTGAGATTTTCTCAGTGCCCATTACAATCTCCTTAATAATAGATTGCTGTATTTTCCCCACAACGGATATCAGTGTATCTGGCTTTTAGTTTCTTGTTTTCTGCCTTTGTCTTTTCTGGATTAACAAAATGATATTGGCTACTTTCCAATCTGATAGGACCTTCCCATAATCTAGGGAATTCTTGAAAATGAGAACCAAATCATCGACTGCTGAATAAAGAGATAGGTAGGTGCAGCGAACTATTCGGAATGCAAATGGCGTATTGGCCTTCCTTGTAAGATGGTTTGAGTTCAGAAGTAGGGACGTCTTATGCAGTTGTACAGGGTCTTGATCAGACCATAACTGAAATACTGAATGCGGTTTTGGTCTTCCTAACTAAGAAAGGATATACTTGCATGGACCAGGTTTCTGTGCTGAACCATAATTATTAGTTATTACAAATAAATAGATTCTAGCTACACAGAAGTTATAAACTGGTGACATATAACTCTAATCCACTTATAAAAGCCCCCTCTAAATACACATACCTACATAAAAACATATAGTGATATGCGTGGTGGGAAAGACTGGGAAAGCAGTCCAGTGGCCCTGTATTTTTTTAAATTCACTCATGGGATGTGGGTGTCACTGGCTGGGCCCAGTATTTATTGCCTGTTCGTAGTTACCCGTTGAGAAGGAGGTGGTGAGCGGTCTTCTCCAACCACTGCAGTCCATGTGCTATAGGTAGACCTACAATGCCCTTAGGAGGGAATTCCAGGATTTTGACCCAGTGACAATGAAGGAACGGGGATATATTTCCAAGTCGGTGAGTGGCTTGGAGGGGAACTTACTGGGAGTGGTGTTCCCATGTATCCACTACCCTTGTCCTCCTAGACGGAAATGGTCATTGGTTTGGAAGGCACTGGCTGAGAGGTCTTGTTGAGCCTTGAAGACTCCTACATTGCAAAACCAAAGAGCTTTAGAGGGGTGGCTGGTCATTCAACTGTGGTGGTGTCACCCTCATTATGACTGGTATTTGTGCTGCCTCTGAATTGGTCATGGGGAATTGATTGGCAGCAGGAGGTGAAGGATGGGAACTAGACTAGGGATAGTGCGGGCAGCCAGCCGTGATGCATACAGGGTCGAATAATCAGCCAGGCACCAAGCAACCTAATGGCCAAGGGGAGGGTGCAGGGGCTGTGATAAAAAGAACAGTGAAGGCCAAGCAGTTTTGTGAACTGGAACTGTTCCCCAGGTGAGAGGAGTCTGCATTCCAACCAAGATCTGTCTCACACTGAGCTATAACTGTCTGTGACACAGGAATCTTGCTGCTCTGCTCCTCCCGCTGTCACGTCACTGATTCACCGTGTCATCAATGTCTTCAGCTCCACCTCAGTGACTACTTTACTGCCATCCTGATCGGTTCAGTCAACTCACTCCATATCCTCTTCATCCACCATTCTCTACACCAAGGACTCCTCGATTCCAACATTCTCATCCTTGTTTTCAAACCCCTCTGGCCTCATTCCCTCCCTATCTCTGTAACATCCTCCAGCCCCTATACCCCTCCCTATCTCTGTAACCTCCTCTAGCCCCTACACCACTCGCTACCGCTGTAACCTCCTCCAGCCCCTATACCCCTTCCATGTCTCTGTACCCTCCTCCAGCCGCTATAGCCCTCCCTAGCTCTGTCACCTCCTCCAGCCCCTACACGCCTTGTTATCTCCGTCACCTCCTCCAGGCCCTACACCCCTCGTTATCTCTGTCACCTCCTCCAGCCCCTATACCCCTCCCTATTTCTGTAACTTCCTCCAGCCCCTTACATTCCTCCCTATCTCTGTCCCCTCCCCCAGATCTGCAATCCTCTGAGATCTCTGCCATCCTCCAATTCTGGCATCTCAAGCATTTCAAACATAAATGGGGAGATGATGGCCTAGTAGTATTATCACTAGACTATTAATCCAGGAAACCCCGGTAATGTTCTGGGGAACCTAGATTCAAATCTCACCACGGCAGCTGTGGAATTTCATATCAATAAAAATCTAGAATTAAGAATCTAATGAATCCATTGTTAATTGTCACAAAAACCCACCTGGTTCACTTGTCCTTTAGAGCAGGAAACTTCCATCCTTACCTGCTCTGGCCTACATGAGACTCCAGACACAAAACAATGTAACTGATTCTTAACTGCCCTGTGAGCAATTAGGGATGGGCAATAAATGCTGGTTTAGCCAGTGATGCCCTCAGCCTGTGAATGAATGAGGGAAAAAAAATCCTCTGATTCCCATTGGTGACTATGCCTTCAGCTGTTAGAGCCTCATGTTCCGGAATACCCTCTTAAACCTCTCTGCCCCTCTTTCACATGCTCATATCTCAAGGTATGGTGTTAAAGCTGCTACATAAATCCAGGTTGTTGTTGTTGGTGAGCTGTTCCTGTATCCAATTGAAGGAAATCTGTTTTCTTGGAGCTTGCAGTTTTATTTCACAGAGTGGTAGAGGGGGTTGTTGTAGTTCCAGTAGGGCATGAGGGGTGGAGGGAGGATAAAATAATGGCCACCTCTGAGGGTGGGGGCTGATGATGTGGGCTAGGGTGCCTAAAATGTGGGACAGGACATTCAAATCCAAGCTGCGCTGTTCATGAAGCAATTCCTCACATGAAGTAGGAACCTGGGACTCTCTCATCCCAAAAAAATTGCAGAGACTGGGACAGGGAAGATGGGACAATGGTGAGGGTGGGTTTTGGGGTGAGCTAGTACAGTTCTGAGGGACTGAATGGCCTCCTCTGTGCCTACATTCCCAGGAAGAGAATGATGTGAGAAAGGATAGAGTATCTGAGTGAGAGCCAGAGGGTGGAAGACAGGGTGTGGGATGTAGAGATGGGGTGAGAGTGTGGGGGAGAGATGGTGAAGAGGTAGAGAGTGGCTGAGGGGGGAGATAGAGAATGGAGAAAGAGAGATGGGAGTGAGAGAGAGAGGGGGGAGGGAGAAGAGGTAAGGGAGTGGGAGAGTGAGAAAGAGGAGGGGAGTCAGAGGAAGTTGGTGAGAGAGAAAAGATTAAGTGGAGTGAGTGAGAAGGGGAGAGAGAGAAGAGAATGGTTGTGGGGAGTGAGGAGTAGAGGGAGGCAGAGGCGGGGAGAGTGGGGCAAGGAGAGACAGAGGTGGGGGGGGATGGGAAGGTGTGGAGCCAGATTACACCAGGCAATCAAACATTGCAATCAAAACTTAAATATAAAAATCACAGGAAGTTTGGGCTTTGACAATTTAACTTCCTGTTTCTCAGTGCTTTGAAGGTGCAGCTTCCTGTTAGCAGTGTTTGACCCAAATTAGTAATCCCTGACAAACACACTTACGTTCTGAATTTAAACAAAAAACTCTTGATGTTTAATATCGTAATCTGTCTGTTTTTGAGAAACCCGTGTGTTTCTGAGTTGAGGAAAGTTCTGGAATTTCTCACTAATGTGCGTGAGTGGCCTACTTCCAGAGGTGAAGCCTCAGGAACCAGCTGTGTCATTGGCCAAACCCCTGCTTCCTTATCGTATTCCTGGCTCTGTCCGATTCTAACTTTAAACACACGCATGGCCAAATCATTTCGGAAACTGCCGTCAATTTATGACTGGTGAGCTTGGCCCCGGGAGAGAAAAGATTGAGTTAAATCAAGGCTGATCAAGACCACATGAATCTGCATTTTTCCTCATGCAAACCCTTTTGTTAATTCATTCACAGGATGTGTGCATTACTGATTGAATGTCGAGGAGCCTCCTGAATCAGTTCATCATGTTGGGCAGGACTCATATGCTCAGGCGGGTAGGAACAGCTGGTTTCCTCCCTTAAAGGGCACCAGCAACCCAGTTGGAATTTGATGAGTGGGTAACACTCTCACCTTGTCCTGATCCAGAAAATCGAGCACAATTTGATTCCATCTGACACATGCTCAGCGCAGTACTGAGGAAGGGTTGTATTGCCAGAGTCACCATCTTTTAAATGCAAGATTGAAGCAAGCAAGACTTCATGTGTGTATCAGGAGTATATCAATGATCTCAAGCTCATGATTCAATGAAATGCAGAGGCATTCTCTCATGTCTTGAGGCCAAGATTGTTGTGTAAGAGCTTGAGGAGCTTTGAGCAACCTTGCGATGATGTAATTGTACAGCACTTCATTGGGCATAAACAGTACAAGGTGGGCAGGGTTGAAAGGAAAATTGAAACTCAGAGAGAGCAAGGCAGAAGCCTGTAGTCTCTTTGTGTGAATGTTAGACACATGTGTAGATAGGCAGCAAGGGTAGACCGTGGACTGTTAGGTGTGACATTTTATGGAACAGTCTTTCATTAATGGAACAGCAAATGCAAATGTTTTCTTTCACTTTTTCCAAAGAGTGGTTAACCCTGTCAACACCCATAACCCTGTGCATTGTGACAGCTCTGCTCTGCCTCATGTTGACATGTTTCATATGCACCTTTGCCTGAAATGATTGACCCAAATTGCAGACTCGAGAATTCCTCAGCTCTCATTCCGTGTGAGAGATCCAGTGAGGTGTGCAGTGAGTTTATACCGGGGCAGGGGGTTGGTCTTTTCCGTTAGTGAGGTGAGGAGGGGTTAGGTTGAAACCCTTACCTGAGGGGAGAGAGTGAGGAGAACTGGTCTCCAGGCCTGTTACAGGGATCTCAGTGAGACATCTAAAACTCCATGAGGCTTTGACAGAACCGATCCCGACAGGCTGTCATCCTGCACCACCCCGAATCCGGGCTACATGGAGGTGGGGGAGTGGACACAGTCCCAGGAAAAGGTGGAAGCATTTTGGACTGAGTGACGGAGGAATGTTTTCATGGAGGAGGTGAGTCCTTGGAATTCTCTGGTTGAGGGGCAGTGGGTTTCTGTCCCTGAGTAAGGTCAAGATTGAGATCAGTCAGTAACGGATATGGGGAGCAAGCGGGATAGTGAAAGAGGAGTAAAAGATCAGCCATGATCATACTGAATGATGGAGTAGGTTCAAGGGGCCGAATGGGCTACTTTTCCTCAGATTTATGCTTTTGTGTAAAATTAGGGGCTCATCTGTCTGAAAGAGGCGGTAATATCCAACGGAGAACTCAGGAATGTGCTCCGACAGGGAGTAGTTGAGATGAATCGTATTAAGGGGAAGCTGGATAAAGATACGAGAGCGAAAGGAATAGAAGGGAAAAGTGTGATGAAGAGGGGCAGGGAGGAGTCACATGTGAAGCCCAGAACAGCTGGGCTGAATGGCCTCTTTCTGAGCTGTCAATTCAATCTGATACCAACCTGAGTCCAGGGAAGGTCATGATTTGACCCAATGAGGAACTGGAACTAGACCTGGTTTGTCATGGAGTGTTACAGATTGAACGGATTTCTCTTTATTCCAGGGTTTTCTGGACAGGACTGTGAGGTGAATGTGGACGATTGTGCTGAGCATCACTGTCAGAATGAAGGCCTGTGTGTGGACGGTGTGAACACGTACAACTGCCAGTGTCCGCCAGAGTGGACAGGTAAACACTTGGTATTACTGTTCCTGAATGCCCCACTATCAACATTCAGGGGTTGCTATTGTCCAGACACTGAACTGGACCAGCTGTATAAATACTGTGGCATGTGCGAAGGTCGAAAGTTGGGAATACTGCGGTGAGCAGTTATCTCTTGTCTCCCCAAAGTCTGTCCACAATCTACAAGACACAAATCAGGAGTGTGATGCAATACTCCCCACTTGCATGGTTGAGTGCAGCTCCAACAACACTCAAGAAGCTTGACATCATTCAGGACAAAGCAGCCACTTGATTGGCACTACATCCACAAGTATCCACTCCCTCCACTACTGACACTTCATAGCAGCAGTGTGTACTATCTCCAAGATGCACTGCAGAAATTTACCAATGTTCCTTAGACAGCACCTTCCAAACTCATGAGCACATCCATCTAGAAGGACAAGGGAAGCAGATATACATGGGAACACTACCCCTGCAAGTTCTCCTCCAAGCCACTCACCATTCTGACTTGGAAATATTTTGCTGTTTCCTCACTGTCGCTGGAATTGCCTCCCTAATGGCATTGTGGGTCTACCTACACCACGTGATCTGCAGCAGTTCAAGAAGGCAGCTCACCACAGCCTTCTCAAGGGAGCAACCAGGAATGGATCAATAAATGCTGGCCAAGCCAATGACACCTACATACCACAAAAATGCATTTAAAAAAAAAAATCAGAGGATGCATAGAAACCTGTAGCATGGGAGGAAGCTCCTCAGCCAACTGTATCCACTCCCTCCCAGCAAGGCCCCATTTAATCCATCCTTTCCAGCCCTTGCTCTGTAGTCTGTAGTTTATTGCTCTTCAAGCAAATATCCAAAAGTTATTTAAATATGATGAAGATTTCCACCCTGGTGAAGCTGACCAACAGTGAGCTCCAATTAGCCATTGTGAAGACACAGCTCACCTAAGAATCTACCTCTTTGGCCTAGCTTTTGGTCATGTGTCTTAATCTTACAGAATCTTAGAATTTTTACGGTGCAGGAGGCCATTCAGCCCATCGTGCCTGCATCGACTCTTCAAACAATCAGCATTACCCAGTGTCAATCTCCTGCTTTCTCCCCATAACCTGTACACTGTTTCAACACGAAAAATCACCCAATGGCCTCTTGATGTGCTTAAACATTTGATTTAGTTTCCGTGAAGCTCCTTTGGGATGATTTAATGCTTTGCAGGGTTGCTAATATAATTGCAGTCGATTTTGGTGAGATCTTTGTCACCCAAATTGAAAAGGGTAGGCACCTTGTTGTTTTTTTGATCCTGGTGATATTCTTTTCACACTGAGTTCCCCCCCTCCACCTCTGAAGGGGCCCAGGTGCAAGTCCAGCAATGGTAGCGAGCTATTCGCTCATGGCACCACCACAGTCTTCACCTGCAGTTCCCGTTGGATGGATATGGTAGCGATCAGGTGTTGGGGTTTGGAAGGTGGGACAAAGGGTTTGGAGAGTGGGGATGAGGGTTGGGGTGGGACTCTGGCCAAACATGTACCACAGCCTCTCGCTCCACACCTTTTCCTAGCCCGAGGGGAGGCTGCGGATATCTGATGACCATTCCCCTCAGACCCTTGGTCTCTGGCTGCAAAGACAGTTGTGAGGAGTGGGTGGGATGGAGGCCGAGGTTTATTTGAGGTTTGTTCTGCTTCCTGCTCCCAGGTCAGTTTTGTACAGAGGATGTGGACGAGTGCCAGCTCCAGCCCAATGCCTGTCAGAATGGAGGCACCTGCCATAACACAAATGGGGGCTACAACTGTGTCTGTGTCAACGGCTGGACAGGGGATGATTGCAGTGAGAACATCGATGACTGTGCCATTGCTGCCTGCTACAGTGGGGCCACGTGCCATGATCGTGTCGCCTCCTTCTACTGCGAATGTCCCCATGGCAGGACCGGTATGAATTTGGGAGGCCACTGCCTCTGACTTTTCGCCCCCTCTGACTCTTCGTGCCATTAACCTTTCACCCCCTCTAGCCTTGCACTCTCTCTGGCCTTTCACTCCCTCTGACCTTACCCTGCCACTAATGTTTCACCTCTCTATCATTTCACCTCCTCTGACCTTTCACCAACACGGACCTTTCACCAGCACTAATCTTTCACACTGATGTCTAAATGTGAAATATTATGTGTTGATGGTATAATGAAGGAATAAAGGTTGCAGAGGGATCTGTAGAGACATACACACGTCTTGAAAATAGCGCAGGTTAATAGGCCCTAAAAAACGCACAAATGCTGGAAATAAAGAGCAGTGTGGTGTCAGGGTCATGACCCTCCTGCAGGTCCAGGTTCAAACCCCACCTCGGGATGGGATGGTCACAGAGATGTGTCCCAACTGGTTCATTTAGAAACATCAAACACTGAGCTCCTTTCCTCAGGAACTTGAAAGCAGAGAAGTTCCATTAAACTGCTGGCGAACGTGGGGTTTGCTCTGTACATAATGAAAGGGATGGAGAAAGTTAAGAAAGGATTTATAACAACTGGCATTGACAAGTGACAACTGTTGTTGAGTGGGGTGGAGGGGGGGAATGTCTAAACAGAATGGGGCTCCTTTCCCCCGAAAGGAAAGGAACCTTGTAGCTGATCGGATAGGGACCTTGCAAATTAGGAATGGCTTAGAAAGGGCAGTTGTAGAGAAGATGCTTCTCTCTGTGGTGGATACAAAACAATGTTATGACACTTGGTTCAGTGCATCAACATTTCAGAGCAGAGATAGTAGGAACTGCTGATGCTAGAGTCTGAGATAACAAGGTGTGGAGCTGGATGAACACAGCAGGCCAGGCAGAAGGTCTGAAGAAGGGTCCAGACCCGAAACGTCAACATTTCAGAGCAGCTTAGATGGTTGGTGTTGGAAAGGGAATTAAGGAATGGGGTGAGTAAATGGGATCGGGGAGTGGAGGGGAAATAAACTCGAGGACAGACTGGATGGCCTGTTTGTGAGCAGGATTTCTCTCTCTTAATCATGACCCTGTTATTTTTGTCGCCCAGGGTTGCTGTGTCACCTTGATGACGCGTGCATTAGTAATCCTTGCCATGAGGAGGCGAACTGCAGCACAAATCCTGTCAACGGCAAAGCCATCTGCACATGTCCAGTTGGATTCTCGGGGGCGTCCTGCAAGCAGGATGATGATGAATGCTCTCTGGGTAACACAGCAACTAACTCCGCGCCATTCCTTCTTTCTTTTACCTCCTAACCACTTCCCCCAGGGCATTGGGTAACACTACTTCTGAGTCAGAAAGTTCAGTCCACAGACATGAAAGCTGATATGTTCAGTGCAGTGCTGAGGGAGCACCGTACTGTCGGAGGGTCAGTGCTGAGGGAGCGCCGCACTGTCGGAGGGTCAGTGCTGAGGGAGCGCCGCACCGTTGGAGGGTCAGTGCTGAGGGAGAGCCGCACTGTCGGAGGGTCAGTACTGAGGGAGCACTGCACCGTTGGAGGGTCAGTGCTGAGGGAGAGCCGCACTGTTGGAGGGTCAGTACTGAGGGAGCACCGTACTGTCGGAGGGTCAGCGCTGAGGAAGGGCCGCACTGTCAAAGGATCAGCACTGAGGAAGTGCTGCACTGTCGGGAGGGTCAGCGCTGAGGGAGTGCCGTACTGTCGGAGGGTCAGTGCTGAGGGAGCGCCGCACTGTCGGAGGGTCAGCGTGAGGAAGTGCTGCACTGTCGGGAGGGTCAGTGCTGAGGGAGTGCCGCGCTGTCAGAGGGTCGGTACTGAAGGAGAGGCGCACTGTCGGACAGTCAATAGTGAGGGAGTGCCACACTGTGAGTGTGAGTGTTTATGTATAGCTGCCTGTTTCAATCGGTTTGTAATTGCCTTTCCTGTCTCTCTTTCCTGCAGGGTCCAATCCATGTGAGCATTCAGGGAAGTGTGTGAACACCCTGGGATCCTTCAAGTGCCTATGCCAGCCTGGTTACCATGGGCCTCGCTGTGAGCTGGACATTAACGAGTGTATGTCCAGCCCCTGCCACAATGATGCCACCTGCCTTGACCTGATTGGAAAATTCCAGTGCATCTGCATGTCCGGTAGGTCCTAAGTCCAGTGCAGTTGGGTAGATGATCAGGATAAGGGTTCAAAGGTTATTCTGGAGAGGGAAGGAAGGGGCTGGACAGAGGGACACCCCATTCCCAGGTATCAGTATTGACCCCAAAGCTCTCTCTGATGTGTATGCATAACCTTGATTTGTGTCCAGGACAGTGTTTCAAAATTGTCAGTGTGAGATAAAACTGGGAAAATTAGTCAACCAGGAAGGGACTGTCCAAGGCTGCACAGGGAGGCAGACAGACTGGGAAATGGCAAGACCAGTGGCTGGATAAACTGACCGTCCCACAGGCCAAGACAGGACACTGGATGAGGTAGTCCCTCGCCACTTCCAGATCACTTTGTTTGAAGGATATGAGAGGTTGTACCGCTTGTCTCTATGTGACTCCAGCCCCTCAGAAAAACATAAAGGATAGGAGCAGGAGTCAGCCATTCGGTCCCTCGAACCTGCTCCCCTATTCAACATGATCATGGCTGATCATTGAGCTCAATACAGTAATCATGCCCTGCCCCCACATCCCTTGATCCCTTTAAGCAAAAGAGTGATATCTACCTCCTGCTTGAAAACAGATAATGATTTGGCCTCAATCACTTTCTGAAACAGTGAATTCCACAGGCTCATCACTCTCTGGATGAAGAAATTTCTCATCTCAGTCCTAAAAGGTTTATGTCTTACCCTTAAACTATGACCCCTGGTTCTGGATTCTCCCACCATCAGTAACATCCTTCCTGCATCTAACCTGTCTGCACCTGTTAGAATTTTATAGGTTTCTATGATATTCCCCCTTATTGTCCTAAACTCCAGTGAATACAATCCTAACAACTCAAACCCTCCTCATATGTCAGACCTGCCATCTAGGAATCAATTTTGTAAAGCCCATGCTCTGGGAAATGGCTCAATTTGAGTCAAAGCATTGAGAGTTGGTCAGTAAGGAGCTAAGTTACATTTTCCTGACTGGAGGGTGATCAAGCCAAGGAGTATCAGATGAATCAAGGATTCGCTAGGGGCTATCAAGAGAAATAATTTCCTACGGCCCGGGTGCTGATGTTAGGGGAAGGGAAGGGGGAGTCCAGAACAAGGGGGCAAAGCTTAGCAGTTATGTCGAATCATTTTGGGGGTGATGTTTCTTATATAGATGGGGGTAAATGGAAATCTGGAACTACCCCCTGCTGCACCATCCCCACCACTCCTTGTTGAAGCTGGGATGCCATTGATTCAAGAATGAGACTGATTGTTGTTGTCTCTTCATTGAAGGCGATTATTAGTTACGGACTGAGGTAGGCAGAGAGTGAGTTGAGATACAGGTTGTTGCTTGTTACATTGAGGGGTTGGAGCAGCTGTGAGAAACATAATTTCTTTTGTGTGTCGTATTTTCTGAGGCACTGAAGGGAGAATTGCAAGCCTGGCATTTTGCAAATAAATTATTAGTTTGGAGATGAGAAATGAATTGTGCCTAACTCCAAAAATAGTGGAAACTCCCTCTCCCTCTCCAAACTCTGAGTGAAGCCACAGAGTTAACAGCATTACAACATGGGGAAGTTTTATCTTCCACTGCCCTCAATATATAAACCAACACAGGTCCTCGAAATGGATGGGAATGGTTAATTCTGTGCATGTCTTAAATTTGCAGGATATGAGGGAGTCTTCTGTGAAATTGATATTGACGAATGTGCCAGTAATCCGTGCTTAAACAAGGGCAACTGTGTCGACAAAATCAATAAGTTTGAGTGCGAATGCCCCTCAGGTAGGTACCAATGTTCAATAAACCTTCACCCTTTTGCCTGAGCTCTCTGAGCCAAGCCTGTTATTAATCCCGGCCTGCAGGCAGGCTTTACTGACCAAGACATGGCCTACACTCACTGCCATCCCACGGCATCTGGGATCATCTGTCTAAGGCCAGAATTATTCACAGCAACTGAAATCTCAGAAAGTGAACTGAACACTAAAAAAAACAAACCAATTTGTGTCTTAGGTAAAATAACTGTTCCTGCAGGAATATGATTGGAACCTTTCTGGCTGCATTGGCACTCATAGAGTCACAGTCACAGAGTCATATAGCACAGAAACAGATCCTTTGGCCCAACTAGTCCGTGCCAACCAGGTTTCCTAAACTAAACTAGTCCCACTTGCCTGTGTTTGGCCCATATCCCTCTAAACTCTTCCCATTCGTTACTTATCCAAATCTCTTTTAAATGTTGTAATCATACTGCACCCACCTCTTCCTCTGGCAATTCATTCCACACACAAACCACTCTTCGTTAAAATAGGATTGCCCTCATATCCTTTTTAAAACTTTCTCCTCTCATTGTTAAAAATATGCCCCCTAGTTGTAAACTCCCCACCCTAGGGAAAAGACCCTTGCTACTCACCTTATCTATGATCCTCATGATTTTATAAATGTCTATTAGGTCGCTTGTCAACCCCTTATGCTGCAAATGAAAAAGGTTGCAGCCTATTTTTATAACTTAAACCCTCCATTCCCAGCAACATCCTGGTAAATCTTTCTGAACTCTCTCCAATTTAATAAGATCCTTCCAATAGCAGGGCGACCAGAACTGCACACCGTACTCCAGAGAGGGCCTCACCAACATCCTGTACAACCTTAACATGACATCCTAACTCCTATACTCAAAGGTCTGAGCAATGGAGGCAAGTTTGGTAAACACCTTCTGAACCACAATGCCTACATGTGATGCAAATTTCAAAGAATTATGTACCTCAACCCCTACGTCTCTGTTCTACAACACTGCCCATGGCCCCTACATTTAATTGTACAAGTTCCGCCCTTGTTTGTTTTACCGAAATGCAATACCCAACATTTATCCAAAATAAACTCTGTCTGCCACTTCTCAGTCCATTGACCCAATTGATTAAGATCTCTTTGTAATCTTAGACAACCACCTTCACTGTCTGCAATAACACCAATTTTGGTATCACCTGCAAACTTACTAACTGTGCCTCCTATATTATCATCCAAATCGTTTATATAAATGACAAACAAAAGTGGACCCAGCACCAATCCTTGTGGAACACTGCTGGGCACAGGCCGTCAGTCCGAGAAACAACTCTCCACCACCACCCTCTGTCTCCTACTGTCAAGCCGATTTTGCATCCAGTTGGCAAGCTGACCCTGAATCCCACGTGATCTGACTTTACCAATTAGTCTACCATGCGGAACCTTATCAAAGGTTTTACTAAAGTCCATGCAAACAATGTCTACTCGTCTGCCCGCATTAATCTTTTTGGTTACTTTCTCAAAAAACTCAATCAAGTTTGAAAGACACGATTTGCCTCGTACAAAACCATGCTGACATTTCTTAGTCATTCCTTGCCTCTCCAAATGTATATAAAACCAACTTCAGAATCAGCTCCAACAACTTACCCATCACCGAAGTCAGGCTCACCAGTCTATTGTTCCCAGGCTTCTCCTTACAGCCTTTCTTAAATAAAAGCACAATATAAGCCACCCTCCAGTCCTCTGGCACCTCACCCATAGTTATAGATGATGTAAATATCTCTGCTAGGAGCCCTGCAAATTCTTCCCTAACTTCCCATGTCGTCCTGGGATACCTAGGTTAGGTCCCAAAGATTTGTCCGCCTTTATGTTTTCTACGACCCTCCAGCACTTCGTCTTCTGTCATGTGAACTGATTTCAAAACATCAATATTTATTTTCCTGAGTTCTCTAGCTTCCATTTCTTTCTCCACAGTAAAAACTGACACGAAGTATTAATTTTGTATCTCTCCCATCTCCTGAGCGTTGGCGCATAGACCATTTTGTGATCTGTAACTGGCCCTTTTCTCTCTAGTTGCTGTTTTCCTCTTAATGTACTTGTAGAATCTCTTTAGATTATCCTTAACGTTATCCGCGAAGAGTCTCTCATATCCCCTCTTTGCCCTCTCTCTCTTTCTTTCTATTTGAGAACAATTATTCGCCTTTTATTTTTAACATGGATTGTTCCCTACAGTTTCACACAAACCTAAAACCCACACTGAGTCTCATTGGGGTATGGCTCCCACACACTGAGTCTTACTAGGACAGGGTGGAGGGATCAGTTGTGTAATGAATAAAATGAAAATTTTTAAGGGACCCTGTGTGCGATGTGAGCTGTGAGGCTTCCTGCCAGCTCTAAGTTTCATGCAGACTCCTTGCTGTCATTCACAGCAGACCTGTCTGGGAAACAGTGAACATAACAGCAGCACTGAGCCGGTGACAGCAAGGTGCTCAGCTCTTTGTCCCACCGTCCAATGTGCACACTCCCACTCTCTAGTACACATCACCAGCCATTGCCTGTCTCAGAGACACACTCCCACTCCTGTTCCCACAGTCACAGTCTCCTACTCATTGTGACCCACATACTCTCACTTACACACACACAGCAATGCCCTTTCTCAGACATGCACAGGCACGCACTCACTCTCACATGCATTCCAGGGATGATACATTAACTTGTGAAATTTGTCTGGGGACTTATTAATGGCTCCCTGTGTCCTGACTCCTTTCTGATCTTCACACACCTCTCGAGTGGCCCCACAGCACCCGGGTCCTTCTGGAATCTCAGTCTGCACCAGCTGAATCCTGATATCACTGGAGGCATTGTGTAGATTCATAGAATACCTACAGTGCAAAAGAGGCCATTCAGCCCACGAGTCCACAATGACCCTCCAAAGATAATCCCACCCAGACCCACCCCCCTACCCTTGTCCCCATAACCCTACATTTCCCATGGTTAACCCTCCTAACCTGCACATCTTTGAACTGTCCACGTGGACTGACCCTTCCTGCCCATCCAAAAACTTTACTCATGTCCTCCCAAAACTAACCACCCCTTTCAACAAGAGATGTCACCCATCCGTCCCCAAAACTCAGTGTCCCTCACCCCCATTAGCAATGCCCCAAACCCACTGCCCAACACCCCCCCCAACTCCCAAGCGATGCCCTGTTCCCTATGTTCACCTCTCCTGCAGTTGGATTGAGGTCTGACCCTGTTGCGTTTGTTTTCTGATGATCTCTTCAGGATTCAATGGGAATCTGTGTCAGATGGATGTGGACGAATGTGCAAGTACTCCCTGTCAGAATGGAGCCCGCTGTGTGGATGGACCCAACAAATATCACTGTCAATGTTTGGAAGGTCAGTGCTCCTCTTCTTCCCTCCATTCCTTTGCTCCATCAGTTGCTCCAACTTGATTTTGTTGTCCTCCTTTCCAACCACGCACTTACTGCTTCTACCCAATCTCCATGTACCTTCATTGTCCCTCTTCTTACCTGCCCCTGTCTGCATCTTCAGTCACACATTTTCTGCTTCTCCAATTCTTCACCCAACTGCTCTGTGATTTAATCAGTGACATCTCCTGTTTGTAAGAGATCACAGACTCGTTCATCATCAACGGGCCTTCATTGTGTGGGTAAGAGAGACAGAGATCTGTATTTCCCTCCTTTGGACACAGCACCCCTCTCCTTTCTGTGTCTCATCACCCTCCCCATCTTTTATTCTCATTCCCCCATTCCTTTCTCCCACTCCCTCCTATCTTTCTCTCCTCCCATTTCTGTCACACTCCTTGACTCTCCGACTCTCCCCGTCTTTCTCATGCTCCCATTCTGTCCCTCACACAGTCTCTCTCTCTCTGTCATGTTCCTGCCCTCACACTCTCCCTCTGTTTCTCACGTTCTCTCTCTAACATGCTCCCCTGATCTCTCTCGTACTCTCCCTTTCTCTCCTGCTCTCCCTCTCCCCTTTCTCTCCCTCTTTTCTCATTCTCCCCCTCCCCTCTCTCTCTAATTCCCCCTCTAATTCCGTCCCTCTACTCAGCGATGTCTCCTTTCTTATTGGTGTTGTGGTTCTCCTGTAGGTTTTACTGGAACACTGTGTGAGACAGACATCGATGAGTGTGAGCAGGACCCCTGTCACTATGGCGTTTGTAAGGATGCGATTGCGAGCTTTCTCTGTGTCTGTAACCAGGGTTACACAGGCCGAGTGTGTGATATCAACATTAACGAGTGTCAGAGCCAGCCATGTCAGAACGGAGGAAGCTGCCAGGATAAGATCGATGGTTACCTGTGTGCCTGTCTGAAAGGAACCACAGGTACTCAGCTCTCCCCTCTCTGCACATCCCCGGCCTTCTTCCTCCAGTTCCTCATTCCCGTGTTCAACCTCAATCCTTCACACCCACCCCACCCAACCCCTCATGCTTTCTGATGTCCTGGGAATCTGTAACCTCAGTAAGTACATTCTCAACAATACGGTAATTGAATTATGAGAGAGATAGTAGGAACTGCCGATGCTGGAGTCAGAGATAACAAGGTGTAGAGCTGGATGAAC